GGTTGCTGATGAAACAAGGATTAGGGTGGAAAACAGTTTTTGTCAGGTAAACAATGATGAAGTGAATAAAATGTTTTTCTGTTACATCATCACCGACAAAACAAGTTTTAGCTACGTTTTAGTGGAGAAAACAAAAGAGCTGCAGCAGCAGAAGTTCAGGCTTCAGGTGGGACACCACAGTAGGACGGGTCTTAGGGTCATAATATAGAATAACAACACACTTTATTCATCAAGTGCTCTTCTAAACACTCAGAGATGCTGTAAAAATCCTGATCAAACAAACAGATGATGCAACAATGAAAAGCAGACTTTAAACAGTTTTAAAATGAGACTTGAGAAGAGCTGTGAAGGTGGAGAGATCAGCAGGTGTGGAGGGGCTGTAGGAGTGAGTTCCAGAGGGGTGGGGCAGCAATGGAGAAAGCTGGGTCTCCCCAGGTTCAGAACTTGGTCATAGGTGTGGAGGGATGGGGGCACGGTGGTGGAGCAGGTCAGGGAGGTAGGAGGGACCAGGTTAGGGAGGACTTGTGATGCTCTGAGTGGGAGGAAGCCAATGGAGGTGTTGAATGGACAAGAGAGATGTGGTCATTAGAGCAGGTGTGGGTTAGGAGCTGCTGGATGTGTTGAAGGTTGGTGAGGGTTTGGGACGGGATACCATATAAGATACTGTTGTATTAGTGGGTTTGTGATGTGATGAATGCATGAATAAGGTTTCAGGGCCAGAAAAAGAAAGGGAAGGACAACCACTGACAAATTCAATCCAGTCACCTGAAAAAAACAGTTATCCAGAGTACCTCCTCCACCAATGCACACATATTTCCTCCTGTGGGGGCCTACTGAGCCTCCCTGCCTCGGGGCCCATCAGCTGGTTAAGGCGGCCCTGGCCCTTTTAGTAGAAAATGAAACAGCAAATCCGATGTGAACCTCTTTTATTATGAAACCCTTCTATATCATACCGTAGATGTAGAAGCGGGGTCACACTGTCCTAATGGGAGTGACCCTACCAAGAAAGTTGACCATTGAGCAGGGTTGATGGTTTATCCCTTGGGTCCATGTGGCAGGGGTGAGGAGTGAGCGCCACCTCACCCCTGCCACATGGACCTCAATGGATAAACCATCAACCCTGCTCAATGGTCAACTTTCCTCGCGGGGTCACCTATAAAGACAGTGGGAGGGTTAAATCGGTTTACGGCCTTTTCAGGGTGTTTGACACACGTGTGTGTAAATAATAAAGGAAGATCTTCAAAGTGCATTATAAATAAAATGTATTATTATTATTATTATTATTATTATTATTATTATTATTATCATTGTTATTGTTATTATTATTGTTGTTGTTGTTATTATCATTATTATTGTTGTTGTTGTTATTAAACTCAGCTGGAAAGTTGCTTTAGTCAGAGATTCACAGTGACGTTATTTCCTACACTCAAAAGGCTCTTCTTTACTTTTCTTTGCATTAATAATCAGTTAATTTATTCCCCTTCTTTAAGGAAATGTATTGATTAATAGCTTGTTTTTGGCAGGTGGCCAAAGACCCTGGCTGGAGTCCTGGCCTTCCAGCCCTGTTTCCCCGCCTCCCATCCCCCCGGTCGTCGGGAGAAGAAGGCTTGGAGGCGATGCGATCGGGCTGGGCGTTGGGCTGAAGATGACTACACTCAGTGTCCTTATGCTAGTGAACTGACCCGATTTCTGCACGGGCTGACCCAGGTACCGGTCTTGGTGTGGAACTGGTGATTAGAATTGTTCAGAACCAGAGTGGACTCTGTTCCTGAACCAGTTAGCATATTTTCTCACTCTTGATTAAAGTACTTGAACACGTGTGCTGATTCATTCATTTTCAGATGCTTTGTTGCTTTTAGAAAAGTCTAAATGAATCATCCTCCCTCGACAACGCCAAGCTAACCACTCATTATTGGTTTGTGTTTCAGGTTTTTATTAACACCAGCAATGCTCGGCCTTTGGGCCAGCAGTTAGCGGCCTTCACCAGCAGGGCGGCACACTTTACTGATGTTATGGATGTCATCTTTGTCACCCACCTGGTGGAGAGACTCACGAGGATGGTGGGCAAGCAGAACGATGTAAGAACAGAAACTTTCACAGCCGGCAACATGATTCTCACCTCACAACACCTTAAAGACCTCTCCAAAGATAATCTTATCAGATATTCCTGCTTTGTGGTGTGACCACTCCATGTGTAGTTTTTGTGGTGTGGCTGAAGGCCTCACCGTCGGGCCGAACCTGTTCTGTTTGTGATTTTATCATCGTTACGTCTGGGTTCTGGTGTGAACTGGGCTTGGGCTGTGCTGCAGCTAGAGGGATGTTTGTGTGTTTCATGTGTTTAACGGTGACGATCCAAGCTCGGCCTGAATGGCCTCTGT